TGTGAGAAATTGTAAACAGAAAGAATGATTTTTGACTCAAAACAGCTTTGGTTTATGATCGCTGAAAATAAATTCATATGTTGGGAGTCTCTGCTCTTTTAAACTTGGTCACAATTGAAAGCTTTTCATTATTGATTTATTATTTTTTTTTCTCAATCAAGTTATACCACTACACTGTGTTTCTAGTTCCATAAGTTGATCACTCTTTTTTTCACAGAGTATGATGAATTTTTTAGATGTGTGTTGCCTTTTAGAAGCCAGAATTTAACTTATGATTGATGTGTCAATAGAAGGAACTGCTGAGATAGCCTATTGAAGTTCTTTGCTTTATCTAGGCAATTGAGCCAACCACTGTATTTTTGCTCTGATACAAACTCAAATAAAACAAAAAAAGGCACTGAGCCATAAATTACTGGAATTCTCTTTCTTCTAGAGAGTAAAAGAAGTCCAAATTCAGAGGTTCTTTATTAAAAAGTAGATGTTTGCCCATGGACAACTGACATTTGTGAGATAGAAGCAGAAGTTTTTAGGCATCAAAAGTCTTAAAAGATCAAACTGTTGAGAGAAATTCTCCTTCAACTCAGTGGGAATGGTTGCTACTTCTGGAGGTTTTATATTCTCTGTCTGTCACTGACTTGAAAATCAAATCTTCAAAGAAACATGGTATGCAGCATTCAGAAAAAACTTATTTTCACTTAGTCCCAAGTTTATTATATTCACATTTAGCTAATCAAATCCAAAATTAATTATTTTGGATTCCATGAAATTCTTTACTATATATTATTTACTATATATGAAATTATTTTATATATATTATATGGACATCATAAAAGATTCCACAGCTTTCTGTATTTTGCAAGATTAGGAGTTTGTGCCAGTGTACTTACCTAAAATGTCTTCTAAAATCTGAACTGTGCAGTGTATAAGTTCTTATACTAGTTCTAGAAGTCAGTGCATTTCAGGGAGGGTAGTACGTAAACACAGTAGTTATTAATATTTGAAAGTTCAAGAAGTCTTTCAAAACCGGGAATGTTTTATTAAAATGAACGTAGCCTAAAGTGGCTGATAACTTTTACTATTTTTTAAGTATTGATGTGGAGATATGGGTCATGAAGAGGTAGAAACCCACACTATGCATTGTCTAGAAGTCAGTGCATTTCAGGGAGGGTAGTACGTAAACACAGTAGTTATTAATATTTGAAAGTTCAAGAAGTCTTTCAAAACCGGGAATGTTTTATTAAAATGAACGTAGCCTAAAGTGGCTGATAACTTTTACTATTTTTTAAGTATTGATGTGGAGATATGGGTCATGAAGAGGTAGAAACCCACACTATGCATTGTACCTACTGTCAATAAAAGTACTGTTCTCCACTAAAGGAAAAAAACCAGGAACTTAATCACCTTTGTTCCAATCTCACACACAGGTTTTATATATAAGAATAATCTAAAGAATCAGAGAACAATTCAGGTTGGAAGGGACCTCTGGAGGTCATCTGGTCCAACCTCCTGCTCAAAGCAGGGCCAACTTGAAAGTTCAATCACATGACTCAGGACTTTGTCCAGACAAACTATGAATCCCTCTGAAGACAGAGATCCCATAACCTCATTGAACCACCAGTTACAGTGCCTTACTATCCTCATTAAAAAGATTTTTGTTTTCTTCAGACTCAATTGGAATTTCCCTTATTGCAACATGTGACTCTTGCCTCTAGTCCTTCCTCTGTGCATCCGTGCTGACCTCCATGCTAGCCTTCATTGCCGCCAGGGCACACTGCTGACTCAGGTGCAAATTACAGAATCACAGTATCATTTAGGTTGGAAAGCACCTCTTGAGTTCATCTTATCAAACCCTCCCTGCTGAAGCTGGGTTAGCTAGAGCAGGTTGTTCAGGAAGATGTCTGGTCAGGTTTTGAATATCTCCAAGGATGGACACTCCACAACCTTTCTGGGCAACCTGTGCCCAGAGTCAGTCACCCTCACAGTAAAAAAATGTTTCCTGATGTTCAGGTGGAATTTCATGTGTTTTAATTTGTGTCCATTTCCTCTTGCCCTGTCACTGGGCACTACTGATAAGAGTCTGGCTTCTTCATCTTCATTCCCTGCCATCAGGCATTTACACCTGATATTTATGTACCTATAACTATAAATTGTCCACTGGAGAGTTACTCCTTCCCAGGTGCAGGAGGTTGCATTTGCTTTTGTTGGACTTACACGAAGCTCCAGTTGACCTACTCCTCCGCTTGTCATACCATCTAGACCCGTAAAAAATTTGCAAGGGTCTGTAGCATTAAGTCCATCTCTCGCAGGTCACTTTCACAATCTCGCTATTTGAAGAACTTCACTCAGCTAAGTTAGATCAAAGGGACTTCATGTAAAATGCAGTAAAAGTGATTTTACAGGCTTTTATGATTTAAAAACAGGCAGTAGATTAAGAAGCCAGTTCAAACAGTCCACACTGCTATATAATATAGGGTATCTGCAGACAGAGTCTGAGGCAAAAATGGACATGAGAAAGTATATAGTTTTTCTGTCCATAAACACCAATCTCCCATTCTCAGGTAATTCAAAATTGGGCTTTTGCTAGGAACCTAGGTTATTGCTATTCTTGGCAGATGTTACTGCATGTTGTTGAGCTTTTGTTCCTATAGAGTGGCCTTAGCTGATAAACTCTCTGTTATGTAAAACTGATTATCATGTAAGGCAGTGGAGACTGCCCCAGGATAGCTCTTCTCTTCAGTGGCATATCAGTAATGATCACTGATAAATACATTTTCAGGTGTTCCTAAAACATAACAAGATCGTGTCTTCGCTAGCGTTGTAGCAAAGTGGAACCCACTTACCAGATAAAACAAGGAAAGGAGGAATCTTTGTAAAATCTATGTTGACAAATGAGAATAGGAAAAACGACCATGCCAAATACATGCCTATCAATTAGATCAATTACTTCAAAATGTGCTAACAAATACTACAAGAATATTATCTAAGTCTTAGTAATAAGACAACTATACTTGTACTACTAAACTTTTATTACAAAACACAAAGTTTGCCAGGTCTAATCTTAATACGGATTAATGAATTGCATTAGTATGCTATTTTTTGTGGGTTTAGAAGGTCTTTCTAAGACCTTTACAACACAGTAATTACTAAATAATCATGAGTTAAATTTACAGTAGATAATTAGTATAGCGATGAGTTATGAAATATTTGATTTCACACAAAGATAGGATGACAAAATACTGCAATGGCTTCTGTCTTCTTAATAGCTTAAACAATGAATTGCATTAGTATGCTATTTTTTGTGGGTTTAGAAGGTCTTTCTAAGACAATTACAACACAGTAATTACTAAATAATCATGAGTTAAATTTACAGTAGATAATTAGTATAGCGATGAGTTATGAAATATTTGATTTCACACAAAGATAGGATGACAAAATACTGCAATGGCTTCTGTCTTCTTAATAGCTTAAACTAAATTAAATTAATTAAAAACTCTACTAAAAAGATATTATTATTATTTTTTGCAAAGGATTCTTTCCTATTTGTAGAAAGGGAGATGCAGGTTTAAGACTCTCCTATGGTGTTCATAATGTCAAATTTGATAGCATGATTTCCAGATACTGCTGTTTCCCAATGTTCTGTTTTGCATGAAGCTCATCTGGCCCAATGCAGACATTTACAGTACAAATCACTACAGCTGAACTAGTTGAAGAAACTCCTTTTCATTTGAGTGACCAATGAAAATATAGGCCCTTTTATGATGTGATTCTTCTGTTCTATTTTAGGCATTGACTTTAGGATGAGATGAATCACAACCTAGAAATGCTTAGGTTTTTCTTCACTGACTGTTAGGAGACTCTAAGATGACTAGCTTAGGGGTAGATAGCTGCATTTTAGTCATAATGTTACGTGAGATTATTCCTACTCCTTTTGTCTGCAATCTTATTTAGACCGTAAATTCTTCAGGCACTGCCAACCACCATGACTCCTCATCACTATCACAGTAAAAATAAGAATCCTTTCCAAAATCAAATTACTAACCTAGTATAAGAAATATCCAAAACTTGGTCGAAAAACTGGCCAACTCCCCCTATTTTTAACTTTGAATTAAAGGAAAAGGCTTTGGGAAAAAAGTTATTGCTACCATCTGGTCATATTTAATGAATTTTAGTCCATCTGTTTTTGGCAAAGGCTCCCAGAGCTTAGATTCCATTGCTGAGATCACGAAAGCTTCACAATTTTATCCCAAGTCTTTCCAGCTAAACTGCCTTTTTGGAGCATCAGCAGGCTTCATTACTGACAGATGGGTTGCAGTCTCTGTGACAGACGGAAGCTTTTCTGTATTCAGTCCATAAAGAAAGAGAAGCACAAGCACTTCTGTGGTTCCTCTTGTTTAAGAGATGTGCTACCATGTATTTGAGAACCACAAGTGACCTGTGCGTCCATCTTAGGAGCTACAGCAATAAACTACTCTGGAGGTGACTGAGAATATAGAGCATAGCCGTCACATCTTCACAGAGCAAAAAATGTTTGGAAACAGAGGTTAGCACACCTCACTACAGCAGTCAAATAACAGGGAGCGTCCACAAATAGCTATGACTATTTAGCAATGGCTCTAGTTTGGGAACTCTTGATAGCCTTATAACACCAATGCATAGTTCTTCAGCCATGAACTTACAAAGACCAAGCAGAGAAGACTTTAATGCTGATATGCCTGTTTCCTCCTCCTGTCCCCATCTTGCCTTTTGTAGTAAATGAAATGACTGGTAGAAAGATGGAGGTGGTGCCAGCAAATGCCCTTTTATACAGGACTTAACTAACCCTATTCCATTGCTTTAAGCTACTTAAATCAGCTCTCCTACCTTTGCAGAAAGGAGACTCTAGTCATGTCATTTACTTCCCCCGACCCCGTGAAAGACCCAGTTCGCATTTGACTCCTAGAGAATAATTTATAATAATGATGCATTTTGTTTCCAAACATACATAATGAGTCAGTTTTTACCTGAGTCTTCCATCCTCTGCTGCAGCTCCTCCTGGTATAATCTTAGTAATGAATATCCCAGGATCATCCCCAATGTGTGGGTTATCTGTTCCTCCAGCAATACTGAACCCCAGGCCGGAATTCCCCTGGAAAAATAAAAAAAAGTAAATGCATCACCAGATGCTAGATTTCTACAGAATTTATTTGCAGTGCAGGAGCAAAGTATCCTTGCTTCTTAACGAAAGCGCTTTATTTGGCAACTCCATACTTGAAGGCAGGTGACTCAGTCAGAAAAAATTGTCAGTTAAAGAACAGAGGCTGTGAACACAAAGATTTCCCAGAGTTAATGGCAGCGTTAATGGATGCTCCTACAGAAACAGGATTTCACCTAAATTTAATTGTTTTCAAAAGCAGCCACATAAATTAGCATCTGAACTCCAATATGAATTTATCCAAGTCAATGAGAACTAGAGGCTAAAAACACTTCAGAGCTTTGAAAAAAGACTTTAAAACCCACCGTCATTTACACATAGAAACAGTGAGTAACATTTAGCCCTGAAGTATTTTAGTACACCATTTTCTGTTGAAAAGTGATCATTGCTCAGATTCACATAAGTAAATGCAATCACCAGATCTAGATTTCTACAGAATTTATTTGCAGTGCAGGAGCAAAGTATCCTTGCTTCTTAACGAAAGCGCTTTATTTGGCAACTCCATACTTGAAGGCAGGTGACTCAGTCAGAAAAAATTGTCAGTTAAAGAACAGAGGCTGTGAACACAAAGATTTCCCAGAGTTAATGGCAGCGTTAATGGATGCTCCTACAGAAACAGGATTTCACCTAAATTTAATTGTTTTCAAAAGCAGCCACATAAATTAGCATCTGAACTCCAATATGAATTTATCCAAGTCAATGAGAACTAGAGGCTAAAAACACTTCAGAGCTTTGAAAAAAGACTTTAAAACCCACCGTCATTTACACATAGAAACAGTGAGTAACATTTAGCCCTGAAGTATTTTAGTACACCATTTTCTGTTGAAAAGTGATCATTGCTCAGATTCACATGCTTTAAAAAAAAATAAAAATCCACAAAACAAAACTATTTCTTGCATCTTACTGATTTGCTAGAATGAAATATTTGAAAGACACATTATGAGGGTCTACTCAATAATCCTTATTGCTTTTACTACTTGTGCGAATATCGTGAAAGTTAAATAGGTATGTACACACATACAAACACTTGCAACTTAACTCACTGTTTTTCACATACAGTTCAAACCCACAATTCTAACCCTTTTTTGGAAGTATATATTAGTTATTATACTTTTCTGTATAAATTCACATTTATCAGAGACATTCTTTTGAATAAATTCAATGCAATACTCGATCCTTTAAGTCTCTCTCATCCCAAAGTATGTTTATAATTAGGTATTTAGGCTTATCACAGTGATACAAGACTATTGATATTGCAGAATATGTACACTGCTGCGAATGAAATATGTTCAGGGCACTAAAAATACTTTTCTCTTATTTCACTCAATTTCTCAGATTATTGGGAGTTTGTTTCCTTCACTCCTGCTTGTGGACAGGTATCTGGTTCGGTCCTAGTGAGAAGAGTTACTAATAAAAATAGCATCTCTCTACTTTTTTAAATTTAAATCAAATCTCATTTCTGCGTTTTTGAATTCTGCTTCAATTAGTAGGTCAGGCATGCAACACATTTTGTGTGTGAAAGCCTGCATGTTGCCTGCCTGCAGCACATCAAGTTCTTAATTCTGTTATCAGTATTCTACATTCACAAGCAATGCAGTTCTCATTACTCAAGAGATGTACATGCAATCTGCAGCTCTGCTATCAGCATATAATTGTGAATAAATTTTCAGTACTAAACTAATTTATAATCCAAGGAGAAGGATTTAGGGCTACACATATCTTAATGCTTCTCAGCTAGCTATAATACGAAAAACATTATAATACTGAAACACTCTGTTTATATTTTCACTAGAGTTAATAAACATCTCCAGGCCAGCATTATAAATCTTTGATTTAATCTCCCTTTCATCATCAGGATCATCTCAGATTCAGGTTATTTTCCCAATATTTTAACACATGCCTAATTATACAGTGCACTCTACACCAACATGCACTCTAAAAATACTTTAAGAATATTTTCCTGTAAGTTTTTCTATATGTCATATTGTTAATGAAGCTAATCTTCCAACACATCAGAATGAAAAAAATGTATACTTATACACACTTCATGAAGCCTGGAACAAAAGCCTTAAAACACTACTAAAAGCAAGGACAAATTTCTAGAAAGTTTGTGTAAGTAATACTTGATTTTTAAGACCCCCCCCCAAAAAAAAAAATTAAAATAAAATTGTTGGGTTTATTCTTAACTCCAAATAGATTTAAAAAATATGCAATAACCTGTGTTTCTGAATGGAGGTGGATTTCCAAATCCCCAAAACCTACTCCTGATAGGAAAAGAGGAAGAGCAGGGTAGCAAGGAGAAATCTGGACATAATTTTTAGTTGGTTAGGGAACACTAACAGCTATATCATAACAAAAAAGCGTGCCTGAAGAGCTTTAAAAACTGTCAAAGCTTGCCCATTATGTGGGGTGTGCTTAGCTGTTACAGTTCTTCACATAAAGTTCATTAGATTTCTCAGCAGGAAATGATTTCTGAAAAGGTTTCACACTTTCCCTGCACTCTTTTCCTCCTACCATACTTTTTTCCGTTAACTTTTTAGAGCTAAAAAATATAGCAATGCTGACTGTAAGCAGTGACGTGGTAAAACTGCTACAAACTTCTCAGAAGAATCTGTGCTAGCCTTTGACATTTATCCATAAATGTGCATCTGCTATACTGCAAGGCTATTCCGATTCTGCCCCTTAGGAATAACCTTTTAAAAGAACAGGGCAGCACTCGTCACTGGCATTTTTGTATCCAGAAGTTTTCAAGCAATTATTCTGGCTGCAGTCCTTGATCAACAGGATCTACAAGCAGTCACACACTAGCTGCCTCAGCAGCTAGGTGTATCCCTGCAAGGCTTTCCTGCACCAGAAACTGCACTGCAAAAACTAAGTGCAATTACACAATTTTTTTCACAGTGGTTCTTGAAGGGTCTGCATTGGCTACATGGAAAAATCTTCTGTCTTTGTCCTTCAGCTCACGGCCAACAAGGCTAAAAGCATGGCTACCATCACTCATGGGTCACTGGCCTTTTAAGAGCCTTGGGTTGAAAAATAATGTAATAGGAACGTTCTGGTTGAAAGCTACTGTACTTCAGTTCTGAGTAGCAATACTGATGTACAGATCCCTCCTCCCCCTCATGCTTTGTCCCATCTTACTAGTGTGTAGGTTCATCAGCATATGGTTGTTATATTAAAAACTCATCGTAGTTGACGAGCTGTAACTCCAAGTTCCCATTAAGTACTGTCTACCATCACAACACTTCCTGAACCTTTCTGCAGGGGTTAGCTCCCCACCCTTTACTTTTTGCATCTCCTTTGTCCCCATCCCAGAAAAAAACAGTGTGTTAATTATCTTCACAGCTTTTCTTGGCATATCTCTGTCTCCCTGTCATTTCATGTTAACCGATGAAAATGTCTGCCTTCCCTCAGCCCAAAACAGCAGCTGAACCATCACTTAGCCACTGCATTTTCCAAGGTGGAACATTCATGCTTTCTCTCATGCTGACTCTCATGGTTGGGAGTGGTTCCCCGTAAATATCTGTCAAGTTAATTCACTGCCCTCTTTCTATTCCAAGCCTTACTTCTCTTGGATGCTTACAAAGCAAGTTAACAATGAGCTCAGGGGCCTGGTGACAATGCAGATAAATGTTTAATAAGAACTAATAGCAGCTGATACAGAGGAGAAGAGGTGTAAAGCAATGGAAGTCTTCCTCCTTTGGGATATTCCATCGGTACTTTTTAATTGAGATTAAAAGCATATTTAGGCCCAAATATGCTTGCCAGCTTTGTTTCAGGATTCTTCGGTAGCAGAGATTTAGCCAAAAATCCCAAAACATACGTAGGGGGTAAAAAACTCTGAACAAGTCTCAGACCTACTAACTTTAATGGCATTGCTCAAATGTCATTATTTGCATGCCCAAATATATAAGGGTCCAGATCTAAATAATTTTATGTTCAATTCATTTTAGCTAAATTATCTCTTGACCTAAATCTTGCCATCTCTTTGTCCAGGTTCTGAATTGCTACTACTATAAAAACCTCATATAATGAGTTACTGACAATACAGGGAAGATTTGCACAAAATTACTCAGCAATAGATGCATGAATGTATTTTTTTAATTGTTAGTTTAGTTTCTTACTAGCATCCCCACCTTTTGTTGCAAGGCCTCAGCCATGCACACAGCCTGACAAAAGGCTTAGCATAGTACAACATGCCCAGTTTGCCTTAAAAAAAGGCTGCCTCAGTTTCCTCCTATTCATGCTGGGTATCTCATGCTTCTCAGGGATTTACCATCAAGCTCAAATTTCTCTCTTGATTCAGCTTTACTTTTCAAACAGAGAAACTTAGGTCAAGCTACCAAATCACAATAATTTCTCCCAGCCCAGCCCCAGAGGCCTCCTTCCTGTTCTCCTCTGAAGGGAAGGTCAGTACTTCTTCTTAAGGTTTACTACACAAGCCTGCCTCCTTTATGCCTTTCTCAGACGGGGCTTTGCACTTCCACAAGGGTCAGCTGAGTTCTTTATAGCTCAGCCTGAGCAGGGAAGAGGCCTGGCTGTAATTCTTCCGGCCCTGGAGGGGCAGACAACCTCCAACAGAGACACAGTATCACTTCACATGACTGGTGTTACACCTTCTCCAACACCGAAACACAACACTTAGGGTCAGAATAAGATGATGGATGATTCACATGCCAGGGAAAGAAAATAAAACTTGCAAGTTCTGGCCAGTTTGAATCTCCTCCCTCAAGACTTGTTATACTGCCAACGTGAAGATCACAAAAATAAAGTAAGAATCCCCAGCAGGTAATGGTTTTGGGTAGCCAGAAGGCCATGTGACCCATCCTTCTTCTTACTTAGCCTTCCATCTTGCATTCTTCTCCTTTTACACACCACTATGAGCAGCCATATAACAGGCTGCATCTTCATAGGTTGCAGCATTTTTATTTCGT